ACTGTGTGGCAGGTACCGACTGATACTCCCACCATTTGTGATAAAACACGTACAGAAGTTCTTGGCGCATTTTCCATTATTTGTTGGACATTTTCTTTTAACTCTTCAGTCCGCTTTTTAGGTCGGCCGCTTTCTTCTTTTCTTGTTACACTGCCCGTTTCACGAAAAACATTAACACAACGCTGAACTGCACTTTGAAAAATTTTGTACTCAACAACGCCGGGAAATTGATTTTGAAATTCTATGAAACATTCCTCAATAGAATACTTCCATATTCCATCAATCTTGCGTCCATTTCTAAAATAGGACTCTATGATAAACACTTTTTGTTCTTGAGAAAACACCATTTTAAATGCTTTTTAAAACGAAAATATTCAAATTGATAGCGGCGATATAGCGTTTTGACAGATGACGTTTAAGTTCATTTGCTATACGCTACGCCCTACGTCCAAATTTTCAGAACCAACTTGACCACGTTTTTATTTGAACGCTCGTTATTATAATAATTAAAATATGCTTTTGACATCTGTAAATAGTATTGAAAATGAATAGTTTTGCAACGGGTCAGGGGAGCTTTGGCAGCTCCGTAGTTGCCAAAATGTTCATTTTGGCAATTTGTGACCATGGAGACTTTTGTTCAGGATGACAAAATCTACAACATATCAAAAATTCAGACAATTTGACAGAAACCCAATTTCCATAAGATTATTGCGGGGTCCTTTTACACGAACCTTTTTTTCTAGCTCTTACCCCTTTTGAGTAATCTTGAAAAACCCCTTTATACTATCTTTTTTCACTCCTGGCCGGGGATTGAAAAAAAAATACTGTCACTTATTGTTATACCTATAATTGACTTACATCAAAAATTCAGGCAAGTTGACCAAAATTGCGATTTAAAGGCTTATTTAATTGGACTATAAATACTAGTATTTTATTCGTAGCAATAGAAAAGAGCGATATTTTTGTTAACATATGTTTTATTTTCTACAAATGTATATAATGGCTATATAACTATACTGGATGTAAGAACCGCATTTGAACTACAACAATTGTTTCTATAAATTGTTTAAAATAAATAAATTCATTTATTTAGATCACACTTTAGTCAACATCCAATTTTTTGAAATTCCCGTGATATCCTAATATGTCGTCGTTGTCCAAGGGAGCTGGTCGAAGTTCTTCGTTAACTTTCATTTTTGCCAGTTTGTCGAATCTCTCGGAGTTCTCTCTTAAACATTTTTTCCACAATTCTAAAAAAAAAAAGAAAATTGAAATTTGTTATTAAACTAGTCACAAAAATTGAAGGACAAAAAAATTAGGCGATTGCCCATAAATTATTGAAACCTTTTTGAAAGGGAGAAGGGGTTTCTCATAAAGACAGTAGAAGATAAAAATTTTTAGCTTTCATATCTTGAAACTAGAAATTTTAAGCTCCAATTTACATATTTTTTATTCTTTTGTGATTAGAGTATAAATGTTTCTAATTTTATTCATATTGAGATATTGGAAAAGTATTACAACTACGAAAATAATTATCTAGCTTCTTGTACTTTCAAAAGTGTGTAAAAATAGTAGTAAAAGAGGAATAAGGTTTAACTTTCATGATTCTTGAAAGAAGAAGAAGAAATAAATACCGTTCAGTTCTTTCACTGAAATCTCTTCACCGCCATAGTCGATGGGTAAAATTTCCCTGGGTACGTGTTCGTACAGATCCTCGAGACTACTGTGGAGATGAATCTAAAACATGGATGAAAACAGCAGTAATATAATGGAATTTTATATAAAACGTTATACAGGGTGTCCAGGACTCAATGAGCCCTACTACAAGGGTAGCTTCCGTGGATGACTATAAACCAACGACCTCAGAAAGGATAGACAGTGCATTGTCTTGGTTTGTTTTGTTCTATTGTAAATATTTTGAGAACTGAGCCTCCTATTGGCTAAAGACATGTGCTAAGGTGCGCGCGCAGTACCTGCTCTATGCTTTACGACTGTCAGCCGCCATTAATTCTTTGCGTGCTTAGTGAGTTTAACGTTGTGTCTACCGTGGATTATTAGTTTCTTTGGCAGAATTTATTGTTTTTGTGAATAGACAATGGGAAAATATTGTGTTATATGTAGATTTCGCTTTAAAAGTGGAGGCAATCGCTCTTTTCACAGGTAGGTAGATTTACCATGGGCGTAACAGATAACAGACGGTAGTTTAAAACAAAATTTGAAATAGAAAATTTTCAGTGCAATAATATTGAAAATATAAAATATTTTTTTAAAACGTGAATTGTGTGTTACGGTTAAATAAAAAGTAACATGAATTGCAAAGGCAACATTATTTAAAAGGAAATATACCTAGGTAATTTGATTTTAGGATTCCTTCGAATGTTGAACGCCGAGACGTTTGGCTCTCTCGCATTTTGAGCTG